GTGTTTTAAAGGTTTAGAGTATTTCATGATGCTTTGAGCTACCTGGTCTAGTGGAAGGTGTCCCTGCTGATGGCAGGGGGGTTGGGACTGGATGGGCTTTAAGGTCCCTCCCAACGCAAACCATTCTGTGATTTGAATAGTTCATTTGTCCTGGTCTGTGAACAAATAAACCACATATATATGTGTGTGTATATATTTCTAGTTTATATATAAATATATGTGCAGTTTATATAGAGAGCTTACATATATATAAAATAATACATATGTATTTTATACTCATCTACACACATAAATAAAAATCTAGATCTTGTATTTCCTTTGACTAAATTAATCTCAGAATGCGTGCCTAGAACTGTGCAAATGTGAAAATAATTTAAATGCTTATTTGCAATATCCATTGTTTTTTCATGATGAGGAGCTACAAGTTTAAGTATCCAGACTTCTCAGGAGCTGCTGGATTTCTGTTCAGCTGTGAGTCTTTCTCATCTGTTTATAATGCAGAATGATGATTTTCTGGTGGCTGTCTGAGGCTTCTAAAAAGGCCACTGCCTACTAGAGCAAAATGGTCTAGGTGCAAGTAAATGGTTTGATCCAACCATGGCAGGTGTTTCCTTGGGAAGTCTAACAATACTGTATTTATCTTTAAGTTTGCAGCCAACAGTCAGCAGGTCCCAAGCATTTCTGTTTCTCACTTCACTTGTAAACAGATAACACAGTGGGACTGCTGCCACCTCCCTCTGGGCAGCCACTGCTTTGACAAAGAGCTCTACAGGTGTTTGAAGCTTGGCAGCAGACCAGACTTTCAGATATGGATCCTCAAGTAGGACATCTAGGTCCCACGCTTTACTGATGGCACTGTCGAGTTCTTGGTCCTCCTCTCATGTGTATGCTTTTCCTTCCACTTTAGATAATCTGCATTTCCCAGGAAATAATGCAAGCTGTATAAAATATTTCAAGCTGTAAAGTTTCTTTCATTGTGAAGTTCTTCGTAACAAGTGGTCTGCCTTGACTTGGTGTCGCGGTTGTGAGCACAGTTAGATGCTGAGTGAGATAGTACTCATGTCCACAGCTGTTCAGGCTTTTTAATCCACTGGCACTTCATGGATCAGCAGTCTCAAGGTAACAAGGTGAGACATGCAATGCCACAAAACCTAGCTGCAGGTTTTATGATGCCGAAATAATTCAGAGATGCTGGTGTGCAGCCATCATCCCTTCTGCCACGGTGTTCAGGTCTGGCAGGGCTGTGGGGTTTGTTAGTGCATGCGGTAATTGGGAAGCCCAAACAGCTGGTAGTCGTTGGTTGCTTATACAAAGTGGTTCTTAGGAGAATCTCAAATTTCAGAGATTTTATATTTAACAAGGACCATACTGTAGCAAAAACATGCTGAAGCTTCAGATTTACTGAGTTGCCCCATAGAACCGAGATGTTGCCATATACAGACTCAAGTGTGTAAGGTCTCCTCTACTGGTCATGGACCTCTCAGTCTCTTTCAGTTCACTGCCGCTGTTCTAAACGAATTTTATGTTGGACCATCCTGAGATGTCCCATACTGTGGGATGTCCCAGAAAGACACTAGTTGTTCCCCATAGTACTGTTCTATCAATTGGGCTTCTGATGAGTACAGATGCCACTGTTCACTGTAGCAGAGAGCTGTACTTTTAAGTCTTTTTGAAAAGCTCTGTTTGCAAAAAAGACATTTTCATTCATTTACATGACAGGTTAGGGGAGGGAGAAATTCCTCTGGCAGAATTTTTCTTCCTTTCATCTGATTTACTTGTCTAAAACATTCCTCCACCCTTCCTTGATGCTTACCAGTTAATGTTAACTATTCAGAGAAATGTGGAGCTGTTCACAGTCTCTTCCTCATGTTCACTGTGAGCTATAATAGCTCCCCTGCCTGTGCCCGAGAATGTGGCAGATTTTGTACTCACCATTTCTGTAGTTATGACTGACTGGCCTGCTGGAAGGATTTACAGCACTGTGCCTACTTTTGGGTAACGGAAAAGTCAGGAAGACTTCGTAAGGGTTCAAGTGTCTGAGTCCTTTATTTCCTTAACTGCATTCCAGTGCAGACCCGTAACCTCTTCGAGTCTGTTTTGTGTCAGGTTACTCAACTATTCAGAACAAAGCAGTTTTGTTTTGTTTTCTTGTTTTAAACTCAAAACTAAGCACACAGAAAGGAAAAAACTAAATCATTGCCTAGTAGTTACTCTTGGTGTTTGGGGTGGTTTGTTTTATTTTTGCAGTTTATTGTGGTGACTGTATTAAATACCTCTACATGAAATGCCAAGTGTGCTTCATTGTCGGAGCAGTAGTGTGAGTTTGAGAAGTCACAGCATGAAAGAGGTTGAGAAACTGTCAGTTGGCTGTATTTTCCTTAGATATGGTATATTCTCATAATTACTGGTTTTTAATATCTGTATATAGACATTCAGCCTCATGTATAGCAACTCTTTTTACCATGGCATTTACACATCATAAATTTCATCGTGCTTCTCACAGTTTGCCCATTGAGAAATTCTACGGCAAGGGGAATGGCTTTCTTTTTTTTGCTAGCCTGGTAAGGAATATTTTGGTCTTTTGCACGTGCTGTTTTTAAAAGCAACATCAGAAAAGTAATAGTACTTGGTCTTAGTCCTTAAAAAGTCAAAGGTTGTCCTTTAATTATTAGCTAAAACCTATTAAACCTATCATATAACCGCCAGTGTATAGGCATTTTAACTGGTGGAAACTTGGCAGGATGTCCCATAGTGAAGGCTTTTTCCAACCAGACCACTTTTCTTGCCATTATAAACCAATGAATTCATTGCTGTCCTGGGTACAATTTCTGAGTAATGCTTTTTCTAAAATGGTATTGCCTAGAAAAGCTACCTAGTTCGGAAGCTTCATGATCACGATGCCATTAGAAGTATATTTTGAACATGTGTGGGAGAGTGGATGTTGAAATGCGTTGGGCTCTCCATGGCTCTGTTGATTCTGGAACTGCCACAGATGCAGACTAAGCTCTTGGTTACCTTTGACAAAAATCTGCCTGCTCCTAAATGGTACCAGTCTAATTTTCTTATTATCAAACAATTCTCAAACCGTGGGTAGAAAAGGTTATTCAGAAACTTCTGCTTAATATAAATGTTTTGGTAAATGAGCATTAAATCCTTTGAAAGTAGAACCACTCACTTTACTTCCTTGGCTTGGTGGACAGTAGAAATATTTACTCCTAAAGCGTTTCATAAGAAGCAGAATTAATTGTGTGTGTTGTCAGCTCTGGGTAAGAGCGCACAGCCACCCTCTACCTCCGGCTGGTGTAACCTCTGCCACATGGGTGGGAGTTGGTCAGACCAGCCCAGTGAAGGGTCATAAGCACGTGCCTCCCACGGGTTCATTCCTTCTCCTCAGTCTGTCACGTCAAGGAGAGCGTTACAGAGCCCTGACAGGCAGAAGTAGGAAAAAGTGGTTTGGATAAAATAAGCTGGATTCAAATAAACTCTTGAGCTTTTAAAATGTTCCAGAGGGAAATCGCTGTATTCAGTGTTCTGTGGTTTTATCTGTTGCCAGTGTTGGTAGTACTGAAATAACAGGGAAGAGAGTATTCTCACAGTAGTATTTTTGACTCAAATGGATTTTTTACTTTGTGATTGTATGTAAAAGTCTGCTCGAGTCTATGGTTCTTTTCTGGGAAGCAAAAAGATTCCCCTCCCCACCCCCCAACAACTTTAATTACCCATTTTGTACGTACTCTGTATTTGCTATTGTTGAGTATGTATTTTGTGATTCCTGTTAGCAGTAAAGCATCATAGCTGAAGTATTACATATGTGATAAAACATGTCGAGGTGTGTACACAGGAGACAATTTTAAGGCTGAGATTTTAGTCTCTCACTTGTGGTTCTCTTGACTTCCTGCTGTATGTTTTGCCTTCATTTTTTGTTGGTTATTGAAAAGAAATAAGATGGGCTGGTGGCTGCACCATGAAAGAAAACCTGTCCATCAGATTAAAGCACACAGAATGTGTGCCTTGAGGTAGCAAGAAGCAGCAGGGTTCATGGGTGCCAGTGGCAGTTCTGGGGTCAGAAGCAATGTAGTCACTGCAGTCGGGCCCTCCACTTGAGTTCATTCGCCCTGTGAGGAGGTAAAAGCTGGCTTGGCCAGTTCTTCTGCGCGTGGCTGATGTCAGTGGAGCGTGCTGGGTTGTGCTGATGCAACTGGAAGCAGGAATTTGTTTGTTCTCAACACCCAGCCTTAGTAATCTCAGTAGATGCATTTTCCTGCAAAACTGTTGTATTTCCTAAAGATGTTCTAAAGAGAAAGGAAAGTTCTAGCCCCCAGTTGTTATGAATGGCTATTTGTAAACTTCAGTTGAGTGAGTACCTTGGAAATCAGAAACAAAATCGGGTTCTTCCCATCATTTATGAGGAAGGAGTTATATTCTGATTTTTAAGGGATTATGTCCTTGTTTATTAAAATTTAAATGTGGAATGCATATCAGATCTTCCACACACATAGACATTTCATAGTCTAACATTTTCTCATGCGTGCCCTCACAAAGAGGCCTTACATATGTTCCAAGGACTGCAGCTCTAATTGAAAGCCTGATTTTTTCCTTGCACCACCAAGAAAAGGAGTAAATGATTCTTCATAGTGTTGCTAGATACACTGAGTAGAAATGGATGCACTGGTAATTGCACGTTCCAGGCGAGTATTGCTCGTAGGTTCCTACCATTCCTGATCTGAATGGGATGTATGGTAGCTGCCTCTCCAGTTCCTAGTGCTGTAATAGTGTCATTTTTTAAATTAGTATGAAAATTAGTACCGTTACAAATGGAAACATGAATGAAGGAAGATCTTGCTGTTGGGTGAGGCTGTGTGTGTAGAGCCAGTGCAGTCTTGCAGCACGATACCGTTAGTGTCAGCAGCACTTCTGCCATGTGGCGCGACACCAGCCAACGCTCTCGTATAATGCCTTGTCCTTTTCTCTCCCTTCCCTTCTTCCTGGCCTCTTTGCAGTGCTGCACACCCAGGGGCCCATCGATGGCAGCTTGTACGCAAAGGTGAGGAAGAAGAGCTCTTCAGACAGCAGCATCCCTGGCGTTGCTCAGGGTGTGCCCGTGACTGGCAGTCCTGATCACAGCGACCATACCCTGTCCGTCAGCAGCGATTCGGGACACTCGACAGCTTCCATCAGGACAGACAAGACTGAGGAGCGTCCTGTGCCAGGAGTCAAGCGGGGTCTGAGCCCACAGGAGAAGGCAGAACTGGACCAGCTACTCAGTGGCTTTGGTCTGGAGGATTCTGTCAACACCACCAAGGATATGACCGACGCTCGCAGCAAGTACAGTGGGACTCGCCACATAGTGCCAGCTCAGGTTCATGTCAATGGGGACACCAAAGTGAAGGACAGGGAGACTGACATTCTGGATGACGAAATGCCTAATCATGACCTCCACAGCGTGGACAGCATTGGGACTTTGTCTTCCTCAGAAGGGCAGCACTCCACCCACCTAGGGAACTTCAGTTGCCACAAGAGCAGTCAGAATTCACTTCTTTCAGATGGCTTTGGAAGTAACACTGCAGAAGACCATCACAATGCTTTTGCCCCAGACCTGGGAATTGGCGTGGATTCTCTCTACGAGAGATCGTTTGGAAACACCGAGCCAAAGTCAACTCAGCAATTGCAACGGAATCCTTCTGTCTCACCCCAGCCTCAAGCCTATGGCCCAAGTAACTACTCTACGCAGACCTGGGTACGCCAGCAGCAGATGGTCACTGCTCACCAATATGGTTTTGCCCCAGAGAATGAAATGAGGGTTGGCATTCATCACGCTGTGGAGAATTCGGGCAGTGTCCAGAGCCAGTCCCGAGTCCCAGACACCCCGACACGTGGCTCCAGCAGCAGAGATGCTGTGCAGAGGGGGCTAGGAAGCGTGCCAGCTCCCGCTGAAGCTGCAGAACATGCCAGCTCCGAGAGTTTTAAGTCAAGGCCAGTACCTCAGAGGCACATGAATGGCCTGGATCTAGGACAGAGCGCAGGGGATTTGCCAGCTTCTCCAACTTTGGATATCGATCAGTCCATTGAACAACTGAACAGGCTGATCTTGGAGTTGGACCCTACATTTGAACCTATCCCGACCCGCATTAACACTGTCACCAGGGACAGAAATCAAGTGAATGGCTTCACGAGCCTTGACGTAGACGTGGAAGGGCTTGGCAGGAGTCCTGGCTTCCATGACAAATTAGAGGTGACCAACAGGAATCCCTCCCGGCACGGTAAGCTGCTGTAATACTTTCTGTGTGTCATCTTTTCCTAGCGCTTGTGTGTTCTTCATACAGTACAGCAGGACCTCAGGTCTCCACTTACAACTTCCAGGATGTTTATCGGGGGATTATTTCTGATACCCTCTTTACATAACCATCCAAGAAATTATGGGATGAAACTGATGGTGATGAAAAGTGGTTTTTTGCAGATACTTGTTTTTTGCTTGAAAAAAGTACTGTTCAGCAAGTTCTTACCTGTTATAGATCATCAGCTGGGATTTTTTTGCTGCTGTAAGTTTTAAGTGATAAGAGAGCAGAATTCCTACAATTCCTATATTGAGACATTTTTAGAAGGCATCTGTAGTGCAATGATTCATGATTATATGCTTTTTTTGCTTGGAGGAAGTACTTACTCCAGTTTACTGTCCTGAAGTCGGATTCTGTTGGAGTTCTCACAAAGCCTTTCATTGACATTAAAGACTTGGGGGGAAGGTGGCAGGTAGAGGGTTACCTTTGCATTTTTAGTGCCCAGAATGAACAAATGAACTCTATCCAGAGTCTAAGTACTGCAGACAGCGTAAAATGTGTGGAATCCAGGATACAGGATGCAAGACTGGAGGCTTTTGTTGGCCTCTAGTCTTGGCTTATGTCATCAAGATTTATGAGCCTCATTCTAGTCATATTTCTAGTGATTTAGGATATTTAAATTTAGGGAAATTTCCTTTAAAAGCTTAACCCTTAAAGTGCATTATCATCATTTTACCTTCTATTTTTCAGGGCCTTATGCTGCCAGTGTGATTTATGTTGGTTAGCATCTTCTAACCTTAGTAGTCTCTTTGAAACAGAGTACTAGTATAAAACTGTGTTGGATGTTCTCAGCTGAAATCTGTTGGTGGTACTCGTGGAGGGGTTGTAGTTCATTTCACCAAAGGCAGCAAAACTGAATGGGTACTTCTCCTTTCCTCCAACTCCTAATTTGGTGGGGTGTGGGGAGGCATTATTAGTGTGCATTTCTAGGGGTGTCATCTAAAGCACCATCATTTTCAACAGCTATTACTTCAGAGGATGGCATCTGCTAGCAGATGTGCCCCCCACCTCCAGCCACATGCAAACAGAGTGGTGGGACACAAGTGGAACAGACATTTCATCAGCCTTTAAACCAGATAGAACAGGTTTATCCTGAAAACACATATGGGTGTGTTTGTGATAGGACCTGATCTGTAGGAATTTTACTGTGAGGAACACAGTTACTCCACTGTGTTCCCAAACACCATGACGGAATTATGGTTAATACTGAGGCAGAGCTACAAGAAAGGTAAATTCAGTATTTTTAGGTCATGAGCTCCCAGGCTACAATTGGAGATGTCAGGATTCACCTGTCATTTTCTGCATGTGCTTCAGCATGTGATACTGGAGTAAGTAATGTAAGAATAGCATTTAATTAAACAAAAGATTTTTTGAAAGAAATATTCTTTTGTATAATGTTAGCACAACAATAATAATTTTTTAAGTTTGCCTTTATGTCAAGTGCTAAAATGTTCTGTTTCTGACTTTTGAAAGTATCATTCAGTTTCTACTAGTAAGAGCTTGATTTTAAAACCATCCTTGCTTCCAAAGGTAAAACAATATGTATATGTGGTGTGCTGCCACCTCTGCTTGAGCCTAGGAGGTCACCAGCACATACTGTTTTTTCAAATTCTGTAGCATGTATTTATTTACCTATCCAGACTTGTCCTGCTGCTGTATACAGAATCATTTACACATGATTCTGCCCAAAACAACCAGGGGGAAAAGCAGTTTGGCTGAATTAATGTTAAGAATGAGGAAGACCTGGAATGTTTTACCTTGGTACATCACCTGATGGATGGGAGCGTTCTAGCTGTTAAGAGCAGTTGTGAATTGGGCTGGTCAGACAGAAGCAACAGGAGTGTAATTTCATGTCTCAGATGAACCCAGGTGACAGTCATAGTTCTGAGCATAAAACACAGATGTCCTGATATGTTCTTTCAAACCCTAGATAGCAAATCCAGCAGTGTAGTCCAAACACAATGACACTCTGTGAGGCAGATAACTGAATGCTGGAACAGTGACCTGCTGCTTGCAGAAGCCTCTGCTACCTCCCAGGCCTCAGCTCTAGGAGAAAAGAGGTACAGAAACGGAAACAGCAAAATTAGTGAATGTTAACTGTGGGTGGGAAAAGGAGCAGCAAGCCTGAAGTTTGAGAAAGAAGGAAATCTTTATTAGCTCCTTTATTAGCTCCTTTCCTTTTTCAAACACACTTGCCCATTCCGTTGTCTTTGGGGATGGTGGGTGCACAGTGTGTGTGTGGGGAGAGGCAGAGAAAGTGGCCTCAGGGGATGCAGGTCTGTCAGACACTCTGGAGTTCCAGTGTGCAAACCCAAGCCCTTAACGAGTCTACAAACAAACAAACAAAAAAAAAACAAAAAACAAACCCAAAAAAACCAAAACCAAACAGATAAAAACATAGGTCGAAATTATATTGCTGCTCTCAGCTGATTTTAATTCTTCTTCATGCATGAATTCTTGTGTTTGAAAATATTGTCTTAAAACATCCTTAGGTCACCTGGTGTGGTGGGGCCAGCACAGATACACAGTTCCCACAGCTCTATGTTTCGTATGGATTTTACATCATTTATCAGCTCAGTAAAGAAACGAGCATTAAACAAAGCCCTCTTCCTTCCCTCCCTCAAAAAAATCCCAACATGCAAAACGAATCAAAATGAGGTGGCTGAACATCTGATTACAAGTGTCTGGAACATCTTCAGAGATCTTTCCTCTATTGAAAATAAATCTTTGAAGATGGTCCAAATTATGGCATCATAAATCATGCTACAGTGTATCTGCAGACAAGGGAGAGAGGAAGAAATCCTTTTTGCATACTTTATTAAATAGTAATTTTTAAAAGCATTGAACTGCTCCAGATGTTCCCATCCACTCCGTGATAGTCAGTGGGAGATCAGACCCAGTCCATCTGAAGTAAGTTGTAAAGCGATGGGAGAACAAAGCTTGTCCAGATCCTCATGTGCCTTGTTTGCGTGTAACAACAAAGCACTACAAAACCCGGTTTAGTTTCCATTGCACAGGAAAAGTTTGGTACCTGACTTGGAGTTAACTTTACAGTGGTTAACAGTAAATTTCAATGGAGTTTTTAGCTAAACTGAGGTTAAAAACTTGAGTTTTTGAGTTGAAACTGGAGTTATAACTAAACTCAATTTTTGAAACTAAATTTAGGGGAGGTTTTTTTTAAGTGGAAGTTAAAAATGGAATTTTAGTTACATTTAGCAGCACAGTAATTTTTAATTTGATTTCTGTCATGTACTCTTTCCATCAATCCTGTAACTTTCAGGCTTGCGGGGCTGAGTGCAGCATCATTACGATGTCTGTGTTAGGGGGTTGGATTTTGCAGCAGCCTTGCTGCCCACACTTGGCACGGTGTCAGAGGGCTGAGGAACTCACGTGGCCAGACCTGGGAAGCTGCTGTCCCCAACACGGACAGGTTTAATGGCCTCCTTGGTGGCGGGGTAGAGTTGAGACCTTTTCGTTTGCTTGTTGGACTGATGGGTTAGGAGGAGTTTGGATTCCTGTCCTACTGCCCATTCTAGACAGGGGAAAAAAGAAGTCTGCTTGTGAGACATTGCTGAACACGGGGTATTTTTTCAAGAACATGGAGATTTTTCTGGCTGCAATAGCACTTCCTGCTACGTGTTAGAAGATGAAGGCACTGAAGGTATCACAGACACAGCTCAGTTGGCTTTTGTTTTGATTAGCCCCTTTGAAACACTGTTCCTGTAGAGCTGCGAGTCTGACAATAAGGTATTCTGTTAGCACGTGCATCAGAAATCCATCATTTTGTTTCAACTGGCTCTACGTTTGCTTGTCCCTTTTCCACCACATCAATGTTCCGATTACACAAAAACTGATAAACTATATAACTTAGCTTGAGTTGCTGTCTCTGAAGATGTCATAACAGTGATGGTAAAGCTGATTCTAAATTTGTGAGGTAGGTTCGCTTTGGTTTAAGCATAAAGCTGTCTTGAAAGCTTGATCATTAAATGCCTTCTGCCAAAATCTCAAACTTTGTAGAAGATACATGGTGCCAGAGAAGGAAATAACTTTTGATTTGGGTCGTGTCGTGGTAACGTTTTTTTGGTACGTGGAGCAGTCCCTGAAGGCTCCTCTGTTCAAAGTTAACTTACGGGTTTTTATTTTTTCCCCTGGATGAATTGTTAAGCCTCTTGTTGGAGTGAATCCTGGTGTTCCCAGGAACGGGCAGTCAGAGTTCTGCAGGTCTTGTTAAACTGCTGTGTAGGCAGTGGCACCTGGAATCTCTGCGATGCTCACATTATCCTCCCCAGAGCCTTACTTTAGCTGCCGTGCCTGTGCTGAGGGCTGTGCCTGAGGGACACTGGGGACAGTTGCAGTTTGCACTCTGCCTTTTTCAAGAGAACCCGCATTTTCTCGGTCTGTGGGTTGAAATGATAGAGCCTCTTCTGTGTCACAGTAATTTACAGACGGGTTGAAGCTGTGGTGAGAAGCTGCCTTGAAGTGCCTCTGCTTTGTCTGTTCCTCCTCTGCTCCACTATTGTGTGCGGTTCTGGGCCCCATCATTTAAAAAGGATGTGAAGGTCCTTGTCTGTGTCCAGAGGAGAGCGACGAAGCTGGTGAAAGGGCTGGAAGGAATGTCCTCTGAAGACTCTGGGTTTGTCTGATTTGGAGAGAAGCAGGCTGAGTGGTGACCTCATTGCTCTCTGAAGCTTCCTGAGGAGGGAGTGTGGAGAGAGGGGTGCCGAGCTCTTTTCCCTGGGACCCAGTGCCAGGATGTGTGGGATGGCTCACAGCTGTGTCCCTCAGGGGACATTCAGACTGGACATGAGGAGACATGATCCTGAGGAGCAACAATCCTGAAACCAAAACCACAATCCCAGAAGAGCGAGAGCCTGAGCAAAAGCCAGTGAGAGAGCGAACCCCCCTACAAGAGAGAAACTCTCATTAATATGCTGAACATGGTGTGATATGACAGGGACTATCCCACTGGCATATCCAAATGCCAGTCTGGCTTACTGATTGTAATACTCCTTGCCCACCCTAGAACTTACACTTGCAGACCAGCAAAGCGCAAAGTCCTTCGACTTCCAGCGACAGTTGCAAACATTGGTATGCCATCAGTGTTGTTCTCATCACCAATCCCAGCAAACCCAAACCCCAGCACTGTTCTAGCTGCTGAAAAGAAACCAGCTCTGGCCCAGCTCAAAATCAGGACAATTAGTTATTTTAGAAATCTTCAGCTCTTTAAAGAGAAATAGTTAATTCTTAAAGATCTTTTTGCATGTATAGGCAAAAAAACCTCTAAGGAGTATCTGAAAAGTTGCTATGTATGTGGTTATTTGTCTTCTGTCCTGTGACTACTCAGTAAGAGCTACTGTGGAATCCTGCTTACTGACTCTGTACAAAGAAGGATGCAAAAAGCAGTTGCTGCAGGAGAATTCTGAAAGTGCCTGTTGGTGGGAGTGGATGACTAAGGATAAAACCCTGCTAATCACAGAATGGTAGGGGTTACTGTGTCTAATGACACTCTCTTAGTCGGGACTTTAGAAACAAATACTGCTTTATGCCCTTGAGTATCCTGGATGGTTCTGCCGGCTCAGTTTACCCTTGTGTTCCAAAAGGTTACAGCTCCTGCGTGTATCTAATACTGAATTTTTGGGATTAAGCGTGATTGCCATGTGTGTCACAAAAGGTGTACACTGAGCTGAGTTTAGAAGGGCCACTGTCTGCCTTAGCTAAAAAGAAGCTGTTTTTTTCAGGGAAAATGCAATCCTGGAAGGCAGCAATGGTTCTGCTGCCAAGAGCTGCTGTGTGTTAGGGATGGAGAGAGAGGTTTCCCATTTGGCTGCCGGCAGCGGTCCCTGCTGGCAGGCTCTACTGGCGGTGCTGGGAATAACCTCTTCCAAAAATGAGTGTCAGCAGAAACATGCTGCTTAGCTCCTCTGGACCCAGGTGTACTGCAGATATGTCCCAACTTGTGTCAGCAAGGCTCACTGCAACTGATCCCCCCCCACCTGTGTGCTTTTGTAAAGTAGTTACGGAACCAGTTATTTCATGAGCATTTGTGAACAGAATCACTGAAGGCACTATAGTGAAGTTTGTTCTGAGAACTCTAACTGAAAAAACAAAACAAACTGGTTTATTAATCAGTTTACCTATTTGTTTCAGCAACAGGTATGCAAGATGACGATGCAAGAGGGGGAAGGATCCGAAAGTTAAGTGTTGGGCAGTATGACAACAATGTCCCTGGGCAGCCATCGTACAGCAGGTGTGGATGGATGAAGTCTCCTGCTCCTGACCAGACTGGGAATCCAGGATCACCGATTCCTGTAGGGGAAACCAAGGAGGTAAACAATGAAGAGTTTTTCAGAAAAGATTTATTGAAGCGAATGGCCAGTAGGGAGGTTCGTGTTCAGTGTCCAAATCCAAGGGGAAGCAATCGGGCAGTTGTGTCGTGGCAATAAGAATGAGTGAAGTTATCTCAGAAATGCAGTTTGATGTTTAAAGATGTCCTCCTTGTGTCCTCTCTGTGTGTTTGCATGTTTTCATTGTTCCAAGATCTCTCTGCTGGAACAGTGGATCAGATTATATGAAACCTTCTGTAATGTGATGAAAAATGCCCTATTGTGTTGTAGGGTTAAAGAGGAATTTTCACACTATAATTGTGGTTTTTTGTGCCCTTTCTAGATGGCTGTTGCACATTACCAAGATGAAATAGATGGGGGAATCTTCTCCCCAACAAAAAATGAAGCTGTCCCATCCACACCAGCTTTTCCTCTGTCACCAGAGACATCATATGGTATGGAAATGTCTGTCTCTATTAATTTTAATAGCACTATTAACATTTTAGCTGTTACTGAAGAGGAATTGTACTTTTCCTTCTTTCCTAGTGAAAACACCTCCACTGTACCATCAGCGGATTCCCCCCAGCCCAAAGGTCAGCAGCCCGTCTGAGCTGTACAGAACCAGTCCTGGTAAGATACTCCTGCTTCTTAAATAATTTGAAACTGAACTGTCTGTGAAGGCAACTAACACAGCAGTGGTTATTTCTTTGAAAAAGGGACGTATACCTGGTGAATTTAGACATATGCAAGTCAGAGAAGTAGAATTTAGCAGTACTATTTTAATTGCATCAAAAAGTAGTAAACAATTAATTATCAAGAAAGATTGAATGCCTTTAACTGCCAACAAGGAGCACGGTGTTCATGGTCAGTGTCCAAAATCAGTGTGGAGCAATTAGGCAGTTGCGTCGGGGTCAGAAGTGCAAATGCCATTCAGTGTTGGAGGCTCTCCTGCTCTGGCTCTCTAGAGATGTTTGCGTGGTTTCAGTGTTCCACTATCTCTGCTGATATTTGATAATATCAAAATGGCACTGTCAGGAGGCTTGAGTTCCTTGTGGTTTTTAGTAGGTTTTGTCTCTGAGGAAGGAGTGGTGATACCATGTTGCTGTTGTGCTAGTAGAGCTTGGCAGTAGCTGTGCTCACGTCAAAGAGATTCTGAAACGAAGGGATGAATGTTCTGGAGGGGATTTTTGCCACGATACAGTTTGTAAATGCACAAGTATGGAAAAGTAGTTAGTAGTAGGTGATAACATGGTTAAAGATTTAATGTGATCTAGCTATGAATTTTATTAATAAAGCTATAAAATTAATAAAATTCTAAAATAAAAGCTGTAAATTTAATAAAATTCTTCTTTGAGGCCTTGACTCTTTACAGCTAAAATTAACAGCAAAGCTATTGTTAGCTGTCACCTTTTCTGTGTGCAGTTATTTTAAAAGCAGTAAGTTTTAAAACAGAAAAAAAAAAGTATTTCACGGGACTGCCTCATAAAGTGCTGGACGTAGAAGGCATCCAACGTAATTTATTTAAAACCTGGATAAAAATCACAAACATTCATTTAAATTGTATGCATTAGAAGATGGTCAGATGATAATGCATGTGTACGTGTAGTTTTATTGCTTAGGCTGTGACTGTCTTCTCAGGCAGGATCTTGATAGTAGAGCTTCCAAGAAATTTGACAGTGGATTGTGATGCAATTAATAGTAGGAGTGTTGTGTTTTTAACTTTGGGATGCAATTAATAGTTGGAGTGTTGTGTTTTTGACTTCTCCCTATCGTTAGCTATGCCCTACCCCTTCTTTATCCCCATATGTTTCTGTAGGATGCCCTGTCTGTGCCAGCTTGGAAGAGCAGGGTTCCTTTCTGGAGCCTTGCTCTTTCTCAGAGGGGAGCGGGTTTAACCCCCCTCAGTCTGTGCTCAGACGTGCAGTCCTTTCCTGTCCACGCTGCTGCTCCAGTGATCTCTTGCTGCCGTGGTTTCACTGCCCTTTTCCTCACTTTGCAGAGCTTGCAGCACCCCTGGAGTTCATTATGATCTTTAGTAAGACACCTTGTTTCTTAAGACAAACTTGAGCAGTCTATAAACTGGCCAGTTTTATAAATACCCCATGGAAAAGCCGACTGCAGATAGAGCAGAGATACAGCGCTCTGAGTGAGAGCCATTGTATGTCCCAGGGGAGAGTCCCACACACCAGAGAAGGAACAGAAGCTCTATTTGTAGGCTGTTTTGAAGAGTATAAAGGCTCTTTTGTTTCAGACAGCATCCAGCTAATTGAAGTCCCTTTGTATATAGAAGTAACAAATAAAACCATAGCGAGGTCTTTGTCGGAGGGCCGAGCTCCGACCAAGCTCCCCGGCCACTCCAGCCCTCCGAGCTTCCTCAGCCCCAGCCAAAGCACGGACAGAGCTTTGTGGAAAATGGGCCTTCACAAACCGGCCCTGTTCTGCGGCAGGAGGCAGGGTCTGTGGAACAAGGGGAGATTGTCTCAGTCCTTTATCCGTGCACTGACAGAGAGGAGACATGACGTCCTGCTTTTCCATCTTTTCTGAACAGCCTCAGTGTACTTGGGTAGCTCAAGCAGGGTACAGGGTGGGATGGTCCTGCTGCTGCTGGTGTGAGGCATCTCGGAGCCTTCCAGCGGGTATAAGGTCTTGCCTTTCCATACTGGCCACAGAGCTCAGCCTCAGGGCTGGGCTCAGAGCTGATGTGACATGTACCAGCTGCATCTCTTCTAAAAATGGTCAACAGCTTAACTTTTCTCCTCATGCTGTGGTGAAACTCTTCAAGATCAGATACTGGTGTATTTTCAGTTTTTCTAATACAAACTATGTTTTTATCTGGCAGAGACATTGTAATCCTAAATTCCCCTCCTTGACTAACATGGGCTTACTCTGTTACATCACCCAGCAGAGTGATGAGTGTTTCATAAATCTCTCGGAAGGCAAAACCACAACCTAAGAGATACCCTCATTACTGCCTAATTCTATTACTGATTATAATTACACTGTTGTAATTTCATACTGTCATTCCAGGATTGTCATTTCTTCCAGTCACTTAGTTGCAAGGGAATTAAATGTACTGCTTAGTTGTTTGATGAAAAAAGTTAAGATTCTGAAGTGAAAACGCTTTCTGTGTGTCAGGAGGGTTAGTCGTGTA